ATCCTAAAATTGTGGAGTCTCCTACTGAACCGAAGTGGTCCCCTACAGGTATTCATAGTGATTTACTTAAAGTTGTGAACAATCTTAAATATGAAATATAGGCTTTCCTGATATCATCCTATGGTAAAATAAACACTTAAATTTTAAAGTTGCATGAATAAAATAGTGTGTTATTTACATCTGTATTATCAGGGTATGTCTTTCTTTCCATTCTTTTCTTCCTTAATGAGAGCAATGAAATCCTGAAATTTGACATTAATCTTGCAATAGTAACGTCCAAATGCTGACTTTGGGACAACTTTTGTGCCTGATTTCGGCCAATGAATTTGATTTTTTTCTCTTCCTTTTGATATTTTCTAATCTTATGGGAACTGATGATCCATTTATCTATTGGTTAACAAGTTGATCATTGAAATATTGAAATATTTTTGAATTTGTGCAGGAGAACTTTTTTTCATTACTGATAGAAAAAATGGATTTTGGAATCTCCATAAATGGGTAAGTTTCCTTTTGACAATTTTGAAACTGCATTTTATTGCCAGCAGTATCTGCCAATATTTATGGTTTCCAACAATTTTGTTACTCATTTTACATGATACATCTTCATTTAAAGATCAATAATACAAGATAATAATTGCTTATTAGTCCTTACATAGCCAATTGTTTTCTAGAAAATAACATCACAAATTTTTTGTTGGTTTTTAATAGTTCTAACTAGTATTATAGACATCAGTCTCATTCTATGAATTACTTTATACTTTACAATTCTTTTTTTGCTCTCTCTTTTTCCTCCTCCAAGGTGGTGTGTCAGTGATTTTCTGCATTATATTACTTGGCTGTGCACTTCTCTAGTCTTAAGTATCCAACAGAACTCATCTCCTCTTATTATCTCTGGAAACAGGTTGAATCTAAGAATGAGGTGCTTCCACTTTGTTCCTTGAATGCTGAGTTTGCAAGACCATTATGGGTTTTTGGAATGAATTCTTATGAGTTCATCAAGAGCGAGGTAGAAAAAACCGTAATTGCTTGCAGCTATAGGTAATTCTGAGAAAATTACTGGCCAACATACTTCAATAGATGGATCAGTTTTGTCTTTGAAAAACAATGTTATCTGGTTTATTGTTAATCGATACTCTGGATGTCTGAATGCAGGCAGAATGGGAGGTCATATCTTGGAATTCTGGATGACGTTCAGGGTTCAGTTTCTCTGCTTGATATTCCTTTCACAGATATAGACAATATTGTACTTTCAAAATCCTAGTCATTTCCTAATATTACCTTTAAAATCATTCTTGCATATGAAATCATAAGTGAAGAATGATGGTTTTTTAATATGTATGTTACTTCTTTTGCAGACTTCATGGAATAATTATCTGTTTGTTGAGGGAGCCTCTGCTGTTCATCCTTCATCATTGGCTAAAGTAAGGCTGTCCTCTTTTCTTACATTTTAATAATTTTGTGAGAGCCTTTGATGACAATCATAAATACTGTCTTTCATCGTCTTTGAAGGTGACTCTAGATGGCCATAAAGTAAATGTAGTTGATTTCAAGATTGTTTGGTCGTCTTCACCAGATAGTTTAAATTTTGAGTCATACGTCAGTCTGCCAGAGTTAATTGAGTTTCCAACAGAGGTTCCTGGCCAAAATGCCTATGCATACTACTATCCACCATCTAATCCTCTCTACCAAGCTAGCCAGGAAGAAAAGCCACCATTGTTGTTGAAAAGTCATGGTATGATATTTGCTTTTCTTGAAAGTTAGTGCCTTGATTGATTGTCCAGCTTTTTTGAAAAACTTGCCTATATAGGGCCCTTCCCTTGATGTGTCTTGTCTCCGTTGCATTAGCAAAATCTCTGTATTTGAATGCTTTATGATGCATATCTTATGTGAGGTATGGCAGGAGGGCCTACGAGTGAAACTCGTGGATTTTTGAATCTCAGCATCCAGTACTGGACTAGTCGAGGTTGGGCGTTTGTGGATGTTAATTATGGTGGAAGTACTGGTTTGTTCTCCTTGCCTTTAGCAAAACATGCAGACACACATGACCTTCAGTGAACTATTTTAACATCTTGAACAAATTCATTTCTGTCTATATTTGATTTGATGTGATGCATAGATTGAATTACATGGCATGATTTTGTAGGTTATGGAAGAGAATTTCGTGAGCGACTTTTGGGGTGCTGGGGAATTGTTGATGTTGATGACTGTTGCAGCTGTGCTAGATTTTTGGTAATTTGTTGTCTTATTTTCAATTGTTTCCAAATTTGTGATGGATGGAGATATGACACTTTCCTGTCATGATAATGCATGTTTCTTTTCTCTAGGTGGAGAACGGGAAGGCAGATGCAGAACGACTCTGTATAACAGGAGGTTCTGCTGGTGGGTACACAACCTTAGCAGCTCTTGCTTTTAAAGATATGTTCAAGGCTGGAGCTTCCCTCTATGGGGTGAGTAATTGATTTCGTAATTATTTTCAGTTTAACTTTGGCATAGGCAATGGTGTTGTATGAAACATTTGATATTTTAGATTGTCATTATCACTAAAAGAGGTAATCTTGAGTCTGATGACCCTGCAAATAATTAAGAGTCTAGTGAATTATCCTTGTGTTTTGCTTATCCTTTGTTTATTGATGCTGTATGTGTATATGTTTCTTTAAATCCTAAGAATGTGAAGTAGAAAACTGACATTTATTATATGGTGTGATTCTCTGTGAACAGGTGGCTGATTTAAGCTTGTTGAGGGCAGAGACGCACAAATTTGAATCACATTATCTTGATAACCTTGTTGGTAATTAGAAAAGAAAATTCAATGCCTAGTTTGTTTTTAAACTTTATCCATTTAGTGGTTAGCTTATCCCTGACTAATTGCAGGAAGTGAGAAGGATTACTTCGAGAGATCACCTATCAATTTTGTTGATAAATTTTCTTGCCCAATCATTCTCTTTCAGGGACTGGAAGATAAGGTACAAAATTTTCTTCTTCAAAACTTTTTTGGTCGACAATGATGATCAGGGGTTTATTGGTTAAGTGGTATTGCTTACAGATTGTGCCATATGACCGCATCTTAGGGTATTATTTGTGTCTTTGGTAAAACAGAAGAATTTGAGTTTGAAGTTAAGTGGTACTATCAAGCAATAGCTGAGATCAGTTGCTTGTAATATTTGGATTCATTACTTGAAAATTTATGTCTACAACAATTGTTATGCAATTCAAGCATGCTTCCGGATGCTTAGTTTGTGCAATTTGTTCTGATTTCCCCTAGGTTAAAGTTTGAATAATCTTACATGTCACAGGTTGTACCCCCTGACCAAGCTCGTAAAATCTACCAGGCATTAAAGGAAAAGGGTTTGCCTGTTGTTCTTGTGGAGTACGAGGGAGAGCAGCATGGTTTCCGCAAGGTATATACTACCCTGCGTTCTTATTTAAAAATTGTCTGAATGAAATATAATCCCTTAATAATGTACTTGAACAGGCTGAGAACATTAAATTTACTCTAGAACAACAAATGGTGTTCTTTGCACGGTTGGTTGGGCGCTTCAATGTTGCAGATCAGATTACACCAATCAAAATAGACAACTTTAATGAGCACTAAGAGGAGAAGCCTTTGGTTCAATGATTTCATGAATTATTGGAAACAGTCACTTTTTTAGTTTTCAGAAAGCTTGAGATCTGCGCTTAGTAGTGATTACCGGAGCCCTCACTTGGAACATAAAAACCTTTTATCCCTGTAAACCTGAAAAGCTACTTGCTAATCATCACCGTCCCTATGCATTGTTATTTGCTAATAAGATGATATTTAGGCATTCGGTCAGATATATTTATATTGGGTGTTATGTAACCGGATGACAGTTGATCTATTCTACATCAGGCTCACCATCACCCCAAAGATTCGAGGCTTTTAGGCTCACACCCGTCCTTTAACAGATGCGGCTGCCCCTCTCAAGTCAAACTCTAAGAAATAGATGCTGGTCCTATTTTTTTACAATCTTAAATGAACTGTGATTGCTCCTGCCACTGCATCCGAACTCAGCTGTCCCACGAGTCGACCGACAATTAATTCGCGTTGCCTAATGCTTTAATATTGTAAGCGTCGTCTTTAGGGCCCACTTCTCGGTTATCTCTACAAATAGATCACGCACTGTCCACCATGTTTTATCAGGCAACACATCGATTGTAGTACCTTGCCACCATCTTTTATCAGTCCAGAAACGAATGGCCAAATTTCCCCATATATTATGTTGGCTGTTTTGTTTCTGTCCTCAAATCTAATTTCGTGGCCCCATGCCAGCTGTCTTTTATTTCAGGCAGGCCAATAAGGCTTAGGTATGTGTTGAAAGACTGGGTTTTTCTCATATCAGGATTAGTTGCCTGCCATTAAGTCAACTAACATTGGTTAGATGATGCCTATCCACTTCTAGAAGTTGACAATTTCAACAATGATCTCAATCTAATGGTATCTCGATTTATTTAATTTGTAGGCCTCAATTGTATTAGTAATCGGTCAATAAATCCATATAGAGCAAAGAAACCATTGGCAATCGTCAGCGTATGAGGTTTACGGTTGTTTTATTGGTATATAAATTAAACTACAAAATGGATTTGAAGTGAACGAGCCAGGGAAACTTTCAATTTAAATTGTGTTCTGGAATCACTCTTTTAATTTCTAGCTAAATATACATCATGGACTAGAAGAGGTCACGATTTCTCATTTTAACCTATCTTTTATTTTCTTTAAAATTGTTATTTATTAGCAATTTGATATGATAATACTTTCTTGGATGTTGGGACTAATCATGCTCGGTTAAGCGTCTCATTACCATTTTTATTGTTTTTTTTTTTATCCATCATTTATGGGCTTTAATGAAGACGGTACCACATGCCTTTGGTAGCATCTAAATTCCTTTTTCTTTTTTTCTTTTTTTCAGAATATCATTGTTACACATCTCCAAATAAAAATGGAATAATTTTAAAGCTCTTGAAAATTTCGAGAAAGGCTATGATTAGCATTCAACACAAAGTTCTATTGATTTCAGAATTCAGACAACTCATGATTATGGTTCCTCGTATGAATTTTACACTTTATAGGAGCAATAATCAAATGGATGATTAATCTTGACAACAAACAAATGAAATCACTTAGAATAAACTAATGGAGATGATGAAATCACTTAGTATTATGTGATCGTGTAAATGTTCCGAATCCATTGGAAAGAGCATGGACAGCAGGATTGAAAGCTAGTCTACCCAAAATACCTTGTTTGTATGGCAAGAAAGTTTTCTTCTTCATGTTGTCAGATACTGCTTTATTCGTTGTGTAATGTAGCTCGTGAGCCGATACTTTTCTTCTGGATCCAGCTGAACCAGAGCTGTCAGTGGATCGGAAACTTGAAGTCTTCTTATCTTCAGGTTTCCTGAAAAAACCTGACGAGTACTTCCTGAATGGATCTTTATCTGTTGCACGTCCCTCGGATGCACTTCTAAACAACAGGAAATCTCTTAATCTCCATTTTCTGGAAGAACCCTTTGAAGAAGTTGAAGAAAACGAAGGCTTTGAATTCAAAGATGATTGCTTGGTGCTGGTGGCTTGATCATTTTGATGTTGTTTCTCTTCTTTTTCTTCTTCTTCTTCTTCTTCTTCCCAAGGATACTCTGAGACTCTGTAAGGAGAAAGTGATCTTGCTGCTCTACGGTTCGAATTCTTTGATGGGAAATCTTGAACTCTTTCTCTTCCTCTTCCATGTTCTGTATTATTTCGACTACTTTCAATAGCAGTCGCAAAAGGGTCTCGGTCTTTTTTCTTTCTTGGTGAAAAAGCTTCACGGATGATCTTTTTACCTTGGGATAATGGTGATCTTGGCGACCTTGGTGATGATAAAAGTGGGCTTTTCTGATTATACTCATCAAACTGCAATCGAGGTGGAGGTTTCAAGGGCTTGATTTTCCCCCCATCAAAGAGTTCTTCAGCTGACAGAGAAGTTTTCTCCAAGGCCTCACTAAAATCAAAAGCGAAATCATCTCCTTTCCCATCACCAATTCTTGTTGCTCTTGGTGACTTTGGTGTACCAGGCTTCTCTTCCCAATCAAAAGGAATCGCCAAAGAACTGCTTCTTATGCTGCTTTGCCTATCATTCATCATCGAGAATCCATCAAATTCACGATAAAACTCAGACATACGTGTAGGACTTGTCGGTGCACTAAAGAAACATTCACCAAACCGTCTAGGCGTAGAAGGAGCACTTGAACGAGGAGATGATCTAGCACTGTTGAAATCAAAATCCATAATTGGCGAAGTTGGTATCACCACTTCCATTTTTTCTTGTCAATTCTCAGCCTCCTCTGCGATTGATAGCTCAAATTGGCTATGTAGCAGAGTGACAAGCCAAAAGTTTGGTCAGGGCTTAGATATATAAGCAGAGAAGGGGAATACCAGAGAGAGAGAGACAGCTGGGGTAATAGAAGGTAGAGATTTTTGACCAACTAGCCGCCTTTTAATACCAATGAATTTCATGTCTGATTTTCTATACTCAGTCACGGAATATGGCTGGCGTTGTCTCTTTGATTCTTCAATCACATGGGAAAGTTTATTTGTATTTTTGTTTCTTGGGTATGGTTCGATATATAAGAGTGTTATGGTGACCCACCTGTTTGAATTTTCCATGAAGCAGAAGTAGACATGGACGTGTTTTTGTATGTCAAACAAACACATAAGCAGATGAGATTCTCCTTTTTTTTTACATCATGAATGCCATCATTTGTGGCTTTACGTCCAAGTTTGGTATGATTTTAACAGCAGCTTTGGGTCAATGGAGTCCCAAACTTCAGCTGGAGTTGGCGTCATAGATTACCAATGTTGCTTTGCCCAAATCCAAACAAACTGGGAAGAAACCTTGAAAAAACATATGCAAACTTCTTTTGGGAACTTATTGAAGTTTATCATTCTTGAAAGATTGGTTAAAATATTTAAAAAGTCTTCGAATTATTTTTTTTAAATAATTTTTTTTATTTTTATATTTTAATTTATATTTTAATAAATCTTTATTTTAAATAAAAAATAATTTATATTAAGAGTTTATTAGATACAAATTAAAATTTTAACGACTTATTTACATACAAATTAAAAGATAAAAATTTTCTATAAATATAAATTAAAAATTAAAAATTTATTTAAATATAATAAAAATATAAAAATTTATCTAAATAAAATTATAAAATTCAAGACTTTTTTATTATTTTAACCTGAAAATTTTGACGGATCCCAAATTAAAATTCCATGATAAATGAAATGAAAGCTGCAGTTTAGGTGATCTGCAGTTTTCTAATAGGTTACCTGTTACCATTACATAAGAGAAAGAAAGCGATGCAACAGACCTTCCGAAGATACAAAAATAAAAAATAAAAAATAAATATATATATTTAAAAATGATAACAAAAAATTTATTACAAGCTCATTTATTCATAGTTTGCACATGACTTCCATCAAAGTAAAAAATTTCTAATTTGAAATGTTGAAGATTCTTGGCTACAATTTTCGTGAAATGCTAACATACTGATAATCGTGTTAATCTTAAGATTAAGAAACATATTAGTTGAAATTAAAATTTAATTTAATTAATTTATATAATTATTTTTAAATTTAAGATTCAAATTTTAATATCAATAATTTCTTCTCGATCTTTACTCTATGACTTTTTTTGTTAAAAAAAGGTTAATACGAAAAGTTAATTAGTTAATTTCGTTTTATGGAGCTTAATCTTTTATTATATTGTTTTAACAAAGTGTGAACAAATTTGTGCTATAACCAAAAGATGTGATGACTGCTAAATTGTTCATGTTCTTGACATTGGATTAGTAAATTATTTTCTGGTTTATTATATAAAAAAGAGGTAATTAACAACAAACATGTGCTAATAAATTACTATGACTGATTCATAAGTTCTGGATGGTTAGACTTTGGTGGGTAGAAAACTTCAATTCTATATATGACATAGGGATAGGCTGTGTTTGGTATGGAGCAGCTTTTTCAGGCCTTATCGCCTATGTTGAAAACTCTTCGGAGCCCAACAAATGTCAACTTGTAAATACAACTTGCATCATTTTGTTTGATTTCATTACAAAAGTTACATTCTGCTCTTTTTTTTTTTCCTTCATGAAATAGTGACACCTTTTCCATTCATGTTTCCCTCAAGCGGATACGTAATGGATGGTCATTTGGGTTAGAAATTAAAGAACAAAATCTAGTTTGATGTGAAAGAGAAAAATAGCGCAAGCAAGAATAAAGAGAATAATGTGCAGTGATAGATGTGGCCACATTGCCGGCTTTGTCTCGGGCCCAGCCAACTCAAATTCAGGTAAAGATTGGACCAACCTGCTGGATCATTAGGTGGACTTTTGGATGAATTTAAGCCCATCTGGGGATTGGAGAATGGGTCAGGGACTGTTTGGTAAGCTCCAGCGTTTGCTTTGTTGGACCACTTAACACGAATTCAGGTAAAGACTGAAGCCAACCAGGGTCAATTAGGGGGACGTATGGGTAGATTTGAGCCCATTTGAAGCTTGGAGAATAGCCCCTAATCCATTTGGGCCACTCTACAGAAAACTCTGGGTGCTGTTGGATTTGTCAAAAAGAATTAAGAAGGGAAAACGGAAACGGCAAAGAATAAAAGATAACAAATGAACATTCTTTTTACAATTAATAAATTCTGAAACTATTTTATTGACATTTCTGAGGAAATTCAACTTTCATGGTATTTCCCTCGAAGATAAAGTTGACAAGTTCCTGTCCCCTAAAAATTTGCTGCAATGAAATGGAACCTGCAAACCACAGCTCTTCCACAGCAGGGCCAGGACCAGGACCAGGTAGGTCACCCGGCCAGGTTGGCCATAGGTGAGCCTCTTACCCACAGTTCGCAGGTGACAGGCTGTCCGCTTTCCATCCAATACTCACGACTCCAATAAGAACTTTTCCAGTTCATCATCTAGCCTTTATATGTGGTTCAGCACCAAAAGAAAAAGATCCGAGTGTTTCATATCTGTACGTTTCCAAAAGGACCTTACAATTTAGGGTCACTGCCCTGGCGAGAATGGCAATGGATTTAAGTCAGTTCGTTTTCTTTCTTATCACAGCAGATGTTACATGGTTAAATTCACTACAACTACCGAGAAAACTGAAGACTTTGCCACTTTAACTTTGGTAAGGTGTGACAATCACTTTGTAAAAGCTCGAATGTTCTTTTCTCCTATATAGCTGATGCATACAGTCCACATGGTCGTATCAGACACAAAAAGTCAGGACCACCCCTCTTTGGCATTAAATTTTCTTGAGCCCAAGACAAACTTTTGATCGTCACGACCCTTCTTTCCATGGTGTCACAACAGTTGGACAGCACTGGTTTATTGAAACATGATAATAGAATCCCTCAGCTTATTTTGTGGGTGGTCGTCTACTGTGTTCGTACTAAAAAAAATCTGTTTAACTCGGGTGTAAGCAACAATATGAATGTAACAAACATGGAATCTAAAACAGTTTGAGTAGCAAAACCCTATCATTCACATCCACTTTGATGTGTGTAATGTGAATTCGACATTGATATATCAAGAAAATGAAGAATCAGAATAGTTTGGTTTGAACGTAAGTGCTGACGTAGTATCAAGGTTTGGTGGACAAGTAGTCAAGCAATCGTATTAGACTGCTGGAATTAAAACTTCGATTGGTATTGCTCTTCAATAGTTGCCAAACAGGTCATGAAAATGGCTCGTTATATGCCCCGCATTGATTAAATAACTAGGGGCATTGGGAAAAATCTAACCTGCTTCCTGTGGACCACGAGATAGTGTTTGGTATTAGCAGGTTTTACCTGCATCAGATATCAGTAGCTTTCCATGAATGCAGGGCTTCATAATGTTAAATGGAATTCCAGTTCTGTTTCTCCTTTAAAGAGGCATTAATGCACACTTACCTATTAACATGCCAGACAGAATATCGGGCTGTAAATGCTTACATCTAATTTTCGGGAATGACAATTCAGATTCTAATTAAATTATCATTGTAAAATAGTTGGCAATCCCATCAAGAACATTAAGGGCGTCATCCCCAAGTAGTTCATTTCTTGGTTCCTCTCCTTTCAATGAAGATAACTGAAAACCTGGATACACTATCCATGTTAATTATTCAATTGAGAAATTTAGATCATCCTGTATATAGTTTGAGACATCAAAAATATAGATACAGTAGGCACAAATTGGAAAAAAGAATCACTTTTCTGTGTAGTTCTTCCCAAAAGGTACTTATTAATTAAATGCAGAAATCCCTGATGAACATTCCTCTCACAACTACTTACAATTAAAAATAGGAGACTAGATTACAACTTAGTTATGTAGTTTCTAATCTAAGATTGTGTATAAAAGCAATTCTCCAACACCCTCAGAAATATGAAAGCAAAATTTTAAATGAAGCTAAAATAATTTATTATGTGCATAAAAGGTACCTAAAGCTGAACTCATATGGTATAATTTGAACAAACTGTAAAAGAGACTCACTTTCAGCTCTTTCAAGATAATTAATTGCTTCTTTTCCTAGTTCACTAGGTAATTGAAGGCAAATCCAATAGAGCAATGAATCCAAGTCCTTAGCAAAGTCAAGCAAGTACCAGTCCAACAGCTTAGGGATGGCAAACTTGGTTGATGAAATTCCAACTGCAGCCTGTAAGTACTCTTTCTTTGCCACTTCCAATTCGTTCTCAACTTGAGAAGCAGTATATACTCGCACCTTCATTTGACAGAATTGATAAATCAGTATTATGTGATGTTTGTAAGTGCAAGGCTATATAAATTAGCCAAAACCATTTGGTAATCATTTTTAAATAAAACAACATCCAGTGCCCGGGAATAATGATTTCATTATTTTACCAAGTACATGGCATGAAACTGGGTGATGCAAACAGCCAATTATAAAGTGACATTCAACTCAGGACCACTGAAAGACTTTTGCAATTATCACAAAAGTAGATGCTGAGGTAGAGAAGTAAATTAAACCTTGCTTCTGTTTCATACAAAGTTACAAACTTACAGCGGGAGAGGACCAGCTTCCACAAGAGAGGGCAAATGTTACCAATGGTTCAGATAATTCCAATCCAAATACATTCCTGGCAGTCATTTCATCATTCTTGGCACCTTTTGAAAAGGTCTGACAATAATTCAAGTATAAGAAGATATATGACAAGGAAGACTCGATTATCAAGCTGAGAAATGTTTGCAAAAAATTGAAATGAGGTATCACTTACAAATTTTGAGTGGTAAGGCAATCTGAGAATGAAATGTTCAATAGTTATTGCATTTAGCAAGCGTCCCCCAACATTTATGGTTGCCTGTTTCATAAAAGATTTTGTATAAAATTATAATAAGTTGATGTGCAGGCAAACTGACTTCTGGGCGACTTTATTCATCTGATAGAAATGCAGCTAGGTCAACGTGGTTGAATATGAAACAGGTCACTATCCTAAGAATGACAGAAATGCAACAATATATTCTAACAAAACCATATATTCTGGGGCATCCATACCTTTCTCATCAATTCCACAACCATCTCTGGACTCTCTGGTACTCCATGTTCTAAGAATGCCTGAATCAACATCATGTAATAAATGATCCCATCTACTAGAGTAAACCAGGTATGGTAAAGAGAAACTGAATGTATTAAAAGATAGAGTACCACCATAAGAGAATGTAGTACATGAAACTAGTATGAGACAATCAGAAATTAATGTGAAGGAAACTAGTATGAAATAACTTGTTTGGATTTTGATACATATTAAGCCGACAGTTAATATGTAGTACAAGCCTAAGTCTTGTCAGTTTAAATTCGCAGAATCCTTCACATACATTCATCATGCAGGAATTGTAGATATTTATCCAGAATGCAAGCTTCTCTTGATGGCTGAGGTTTTGCAAGTTGGAGGAGGCCAGTCTTGCTAGGAGGAGTCTGAGAATTCAACATATAAATCGATCACAATTCTTTAGAATTTTTAAAGCCATTAGAATACATTAAACAAACAAAGAAAACCAATCTAATAACAGATTACTTACTTCAACCTGAACAGCAGAAATAAAGAATTTGATGTTCGGTTTAGATTAATTGAGCCAGCATCAATTGAAAGTAAATGTTTATATGGGCCGACATCTCTCCTTCCAAAATTTGAAGAAATACCATAAGGATTCCCAAATTTTGTCTCTTCACTAGTTTCTTGGAACCCTAACATTGATAAGGAAGGAAAACTTTCTACAGTAGACTTTCTCTTTGTTGAACTCATTCTTAAGAAAATGCTGGACAAGCATTTTACAAGTTCCTCAGAAACTTTATTTGGGCCATCGTCTCCCAATGTTCTCTCATCTGGAGTGCTAATATTTCTTGCTTCAGCATTATCTTGTTCACTCACTCTGCATTCTAGCTGAACATGTAAAACAAGTCATCCTCATTAAACTACAAACAAGTCCTACTATAACTTAAAGGAAATGAAACTGGTTCATGCCTGCAAGTTTTGAGGATCTAAACGTTTCTCTGCTGGCTTTGAATCAATCAGAGGTCTCTTCACAGGAGTCCTTACTGATTGGCTTTTATGGACCAAGGATCCCTTTTTGCTCTTTGTGGAATTCGTACAAGACTGATTCTCTTTTCCCCTCGCATCATCTGAAAGAACATGAGTAAAGTTTTAGGGCCTACTTTCATTCAATACCAATTCAATAGGTGTATGTATCAAATGTTAATGGCATCGGAAGAGGATTTCAAAAGCCAAAAATCTTACCTGAAAAGGATCGCAAATGCCTAGCCATGGATGTACTTCGAGTTAAACTTTTAGGTTGCTGAGGTTTAGAACTATTATTCAGGCAAGGCTCAGTCAAATCAGCTGAATTAACTGAATTCTCTATGTTCCTTTTTGACGATGATATATAGACAGCTTCTTGATACAAGTCCTGTCTAAAGTGCACCACCTGTTCTTCGAGCCGGACGATCTCCTCTTCCAGTACTGCCACTTCTGCTAAAAGCTCCAATGTCTACAAAATCAGAATCCAACATCAGAATTCCTGTTTGGAAAATGTCAAAATATGCAATTCAATCACTTCCTCTGCCTCTCCCTTCAAATTTCTTTAACTGCCATTGGCATTACCAATATGGGATCCTTCAAACTAATTGATTATTTCTTTAAATTTTTGAAAAAAAAAGAATCCAAAGAGTCAATGAGACGATGAATTACTAACAGAAGGAGGGAGATACGGAGGAAGACGAGGTAAAGCTCCCAAAGGTCTGTTAAAAGCTCTCTCCAGAGCTCTGTGAATATTTTCTTCCTGTCTAAGCTTCTTCTTCAGTTTATCAACCTGACAAATATTGGAGTTTCAATACAATCAATAGATACAGTAAATTGTTAAAAGAAATCCAGAAACTTGTTACTCTGTTTGAGAAAAGAAGTATATACATCTTGTTGTAGGGCCATTTTTCTTTCTTTGCTTGAGGCTCGTAGATTTTCCATTGCCTTTGCGGTAATTGTTGGCTTGGTCCCCAGCATTTCTGCCTTCTCCTTCAAAGAGAAATAGTTACAAACATTCAGCTTTATTAGGCGTACAAAAAAATGAATATGGAAGGACAAAAGTACTGATAACATATAACAGCATCATTGCCTGCAGATGAATGAAGCCAACTCAGAATTGCCTGGAAAGAAGGGAATTTCACAATCCCAGGGAAAAGCATAGAAGCTTTCTTTCATTTAACATTTAAATTGATTCAAAACTTTCCAGAGCGTCTTATAGAAATTGAGGATAATTATGGAATAATCACATTCCCATCTACAGAAATAGCCGTTTTTCGAAACAACAAAGTATTAAAACAATAACCGATAATCCAGGGACCCCAGTTCAGCCATTGATTAAAATCTTTGATAACTGTGATTAGTGATTACTTTTTCATGCTTCCCTGAAACTTTCCTGGACTGCAGAGACGCCCTGACTCTGGTATTCATCTTTTTAACACCCCACTGCCAAATCTGCAACAACCCAATTCAAAAACTTCAACAAAAATCACATAAACAACAAAAGCAATAGGTAAGCAAATTCACAACTCCACCAAGAAAAATAGAGCAGTGATCAGATTCAGACCTTTTTTAACAGAAAAAAGCTAGACTTTCCATTACAAAGCCGACAAACTTCAATTCAATGCCTCCCTCCAAGCAAGTAAAAACTAAATGACAAAGCTTTCATATTTTAACATCATTGGAAGAAGCAAACACACCAAAACCAATTCTAGCAAGAACAAGGAAGTAGGTCTACTAGGTTTGTAGCAGTGTCTCGTTCGGAAGATTATTGCTGTATACTTAAAGCAAAGAATGAGAGTAAGTGGAACAAGATGGTGGTTTGCAAAAGGCAAAAACTGCGCATCTTGGAAACAAGATAGAGCCGTACATAAACTCCACGAAGAAACAAACACTTCTCTGTGACATCATGAATCAACGTGCGTCTTCCCTTTTTCCACTTCACTATAACTACTATTAAATTCTAGTAATACATTCCAATTTCCCTTTTTTACCCATAGTTTCTTTTTTTCTTTTCAAGATTCCGGATATCTGAATGATTTCTTCTTTCAGTTTGCTAAAAGAGAGGTAGTGTTGGTTATTATAAAAAATGGTAATGATATGATGATGGGTTACTGCCGTATTGCCGTTGACTGTATGGATTTCTCTTACTTTCCATTCTAAAAGAAAATAAGGTAACGTTTGGTTTAAGAGAGCAAAGTTATTTTTTATCTTTATTTTAAAAAAAAAATAAAAAATAAAAAATAAAAATAATTTTTTTAAAAATAAAATTGAATTAAAATATAAAAGCAGAAAAAATATTTTTAATTATGAAATAAGGGATGTATTTTTTTTTTTATATTTTGTAAATTATCATATCTGAACACTTTTTAACATCATCAATTAATATATATTATATTTATAATTAAACGTCATTAATAACAATATTATCAATATTTTATTTATTTCTTTGTTTTACATTTTTAAAAAACAACTTCATTTTTATTTACCAAATTTATTCTTTTAAAAACAACAAATAAAAGATAAAATATTTTTACAAAAAATTAAAAAAAAAAAAGCTTTTTTCAAACCAAAATGTTTTCCTTTCTTTTCCTTAAATTTTTTTTTGGCAAAAAAAAGGGTTTAATATTAGGGAAATTATTGGGTGAAAATGGAGTTTGAGAAGTTTTGAAGATAAGTAAATGTTTTATTGTTGTTTTTCCTTAATAATTTGAATAAAAATTAAATAGACGAAATTTCTAATCTTTTTTTCAAAATTCACTCTAACCCTATTATTAAATTAAACGAATAACCGGACACTTGAATAGATATATTTAGATGCAATGGGTGATTTTTGTAGGCAAAAGCTGCACAAATCACATGTATGCCAACTACACATATTTTGGTTTCGTGGAAGACTTGCTGGTAGTATTAATATATGCTTTTATTTAATATGTTACATTACTCTTTCCCTTTCTCATTTGCAAATCTAAATCAATTTGCAAGTTGGTTGGACTCTTCATCTCATTCATTATACCTTTTTTTCATCAACATTTTTTTCTATATATTTGGCATCACCATGTCTATAATTCAATTATTAATTGTGAATTTCAAGCATATTTGATTGAACATACTTAACTATAGTTTAGTAAAAAAAAATAATAAATGTTTAGGTCTGATGTTCAAATCAGAATTAGCTGTAGAGAATTCAGCCTTTTTTTTTTGACAGTTTTAATGATATGCATTCACAAGGGTTTTATCGTTGTTACTTGACCAGATGTTGTCCAACCAAATCATGATTTCCAACTATGAAGAAGCCAATTGGGCTTGGATTGGAGTACTAAATGACAAGAAAATTGACTGGTAGATTATGACAATGACTAATCACTTGATTAGTTAAAACAACTATTATTGTTATTTTGTATTATCCCCATGCATGGTAATGTCTAATAAAATAATGGTACTAACCATATAATTCATTTGGTTAAAGAATATATTGTATCTTGTGGATGCTGATGTATCGAAAACTAAATTCTAGTTTGGTAGCGACCTTAGCTTTTTGTTGGTAAGCTTTACAATTATGAACCAAATCATATAATGATTACATATCACTGTTACATTCCATTTTTAGATAGAATTAAAGGTTTTTTTCTTTGTCTTTTCTTTTTCTTTTGAAGAGGAGATTGGGGTGAAGGTGGGTGGAGGTTGCAATTCATATTGAATTAACATGCTTAATGAGTTGTCAAACATTTAACATTGTTTTAAAATGCTTAGTTAAAATGGTTGAATGATGAAATTAAAGCTTAATTCAAGTGATTTAATAAATTTTTTTGAAATAAAATTTTACAGAATTGAAATTCCATTTTAAATGCTTACAATTTCTCATCCACAATCTGCCTAAACTTCATCTTTATTTAAAAATAAAATAATTTTTTTTTTTGAAAACATAACCCATAAACAAATAATTTTAGTAACTGAGTTGTTTCATGGAATACCATATAAAAAATTTGAACATTCGTTTATAGATCTAAGACCCTGTCTCCCTCTTTATTTGTGGATCTAGAACAAGAATCTTAATATAATGAGCATGGTTTGACTAGGAGTAATTCCAAAATGGGAAGAAAAATAAATTGTTGGAATCACCAGAGACATTGGAACAAAGTTGCTTGTAGTTATCAGAAAGGGCCACTGGAACAGCTAGGCTGACCATTCTCCCTGGATGATGAGATGTCAATCTCAAGAAAGCTAATAAAATTGAAGATTCTGATATAGCATTATTGATTATGCAAATCAGTTTAATGTTTGATTGAATTGGGGGGTTACATCATAATCTTCATAATGCAACAAAAACAAGACTAATTATTTTACTAATAAATCACAATTATTAATTTATAATAGTGTATTTTCTATTAATCACAATTATTAATATATAATCACAGTTTCTTTTCCATTTCATTAAGGCAATAAAAGTGTAGATGTTAAACATATAGATTTCTTCTCTAATTCAGTCTCCAAATCATTATAGAATAATCAAATGCAAAATCTATTGACTGTAAAGAGAATATCGGTGTCAAGATTATTGACAAATAATTAGTTCAATCGGTTAAATTTATTTTTTTTAAATGTATGACTTATAATCACATGTTCTAAGTTGTTAGATATGATAACTTTATCCTGACATAAAAAACTGAATAATTTATTTACTCCATATCTTTCTTAAAAAAAAAAAAAAAATTTGATGTCAAGATTGATGTATTCAACAAGGAAAATAGGAAAATCCTAGTTCTTTGACTTGAAATTGTTGAAATGTAGAGCGTGTCTTTCAACAAGCTCTGAATCTGAACCATCTGTCACAAATCAAACTGCAGGAAGAAAAACAAAAAGACATTGTTAATTTCTGTAGACTTAGCAACATGAAAGCTGTAAGGGAAAACAGGTGTAAGCAATTCATTCAGAAGCAAATGCTGACAGCTTTTGCACTGCAGGTGAACGGTGAACGCCGCTCGTGATGGGTACTAGAGTGATTGGGAGACGATTTTCCATCTCATAATGGGCCATGGTGGAAACTTGAAATAGGTTCTTTCTTCAACATCTTTGGATGAATCTGTAACCAAACCCTACTTTTTTCATTATAAAACAAACACATTAGGACCTACCAAAGTACCAGCATCTCGTTTCTATATTCATATTTTTCGTTTCCTCCATAAATGAGTCATTGGAGGAATTGGGTTATTGTTAGAAGATGTGTTTAGGATTGCTAATGTGGATTCATGAATGTTGCTTAATTGAATGTTTCATGTTGTTCCTATTTTTTTGGTGTTGATTATTTTTTTTTGTTATTCATGCTGGTAGTCATGGCTTAATCTTAGGACTATGATTTTAGTGGGTAGTTATTAATTAGGCTTTAAATTGTAATGTTTCTGATGTTAAGAAATGTAACAGTGAGTAAAGTTTTCTTTGCTTCAAAAATAACAACATTTGGTATCAGAGCTATTTTCTTAAGGGATCTGTGTGTGAAATTGACGCGTCATGGAAGCTGAAGTCAGTTTCTCTGTAATTGCTCCGGCGGTGTTCGACGGAGACAACTACTAGATTTGGGCAATACATATGGAGACATACTTGGAAGCTTTAGATCTTTGGGAAGCAGTGGAAGAAGACTATAAAATTCTTGCACTTTCAAACAATCCCACCATGGCACATATTAAAGCACAGAAAGAAAAGAAGACAAAGAAATCAAAGGCAAAGGCCTGCTTGTTTGCTGTAGTCTCATCCATCATCTTCACTCGTATCATGTCTTTAAAGTTAGCAAAAGAGATATGTGATTATCTCAAAAATGAATATGAAGGAGATGAAAGAATTAAAGGGATGCAAGTCCTTAACTTGATTAGAGAATTTGAACTTCAAAGAATGAAAGACTCCGAGATGATTAAAGATTACTCCAATAGGCTTCTGAGTATCACAAACAAAGTAAGGCTTCTTGGATCTGAATTTACTGACTCAAGAATTATAGAAAAAATTCTTTTTACAGTACCTGAAAAATATAAAGCAACCATCATTGCCTTGGAGAACACAAAGGATCTGTCAAAAATTTTCTTAACAGAATTGCTTAATGCTTTGCAAGCACAAGAACAAAGAAGACTGATGAGGGAAGATACAACAATTGAATGAGCTTTGGCAGTCAAGCAACAAAATATGGCCAAAAGCAAAAGAAAAAAGAAAAAGGATTTTGAAAAAAATGGGGCAAGTACTACATCAGCCAAAGCAAAAGGAAAGAATAAAAATAAAAAGAAATTCTATTCACTTTGTCAACATTATGGAAAGAAGGGTCATCCTCCATTTAGATGCTGGAAAAGACTTGATGCTAAATGCACTAAATGTAATCAGATGGGGCATGAAGCTGTTATCTGCAAAAATAAAAATTTGTAACATAGTGAAGATGTAAAGATTACTGATCAAGATGAGGAGGATCACCTGTTCGTAGCTACATATTTTTTCGGTATTGAATCAAGTGAGAGTTGGCTTATAAATAGTGGTTGTACTAATCACATGACACACGACAAGGATGTTGCGCCTGAAGCAATAATCATAACAATACAGAAGTAATAGACAACAATCAATAATCAAATGCGCAGGAAAAATAAAGCACACCAAGATTTACGTGAAAAACCCTCCAGTGTAGAGGGAAAAAATCACGGGCCACCAGAAAAATCTTCACTATCAAATAATAGTTATACAAAGTTCTTCTTCTAGCTAAAACTAGAGCTAATCAACAACTATAGAAATAATTGGAGAAATCTCACCAAATAAGTGATTCAACAAATACACCCTGAATTTATTCCTAGAGAGCTTCAAACCCGATCTTCATCTTTCAGAATGTAGAACTCTGAATCATAAACCTCCTGACAAGGTTTCAACTTAATCGGACCACGAATTGACTTCCGTTTAACCAACTCTCCCCTTCTCTTTTTTCTCTCCCTGCTTTTCCTGGTTTTTCTTATTTCTCTGCTTGGTTTTCGACACACACATAAAACAATCCCACCTCTTTTTTATTAAGTAGCTAGGGCTCTATGTAAAATAAAAGATCAACGCCCATGGCCTTTACTTGGTCCAAAA